ATGCCCATCTTCCTCTACTTTATACATGGATGCGCCCGCCACAGCATGACATGCCAAGCGGTGCCATGTCCACACCTGAGATCTGAACCGGTGAACCCCGGGCTGCCAAAGCAGAACGTACGAACTTAACTGCTGCACCACCGGTCCGGCCCCTCTTTTGTGAATTTTTCATGCTCATGGCTTAGTTTTCCATTTGGATCTTTAAGTTCAATACTATTTTTTGGTACTCATAAATGTCTTTAATTTTCTCCAGATTATTTTTGGATTTATCTTGTTTTCCCTTCAAGGTTATGATCTTCATTTATAAGACAATTAATAATAGGAAAATGCTGTAGAACCAGTTCATAGTGCTTTTTGTGACAGTCAAATAGAAGAATACATACACGTCTAAAATCAGAGGCAGGTTAGAATGTAGTTATTATCATAGTTGGTATTTCTAGACCATTAAAATCCTGAGGAGAACTGGCCCTTGTTAGAATAGTAGACAGCTGCTCCCATGAGTGATGATAAGTGTTTGGAGACTAGGATGATGCATGCAGTGAGTTGGGGATCAGAGTATCTGATCAGAACTTTGTCATCGACAGAGCCAAGGTGGGAAGCTGGCAGTGCTTGGCTCATGCCACATGTTTAGTGATCAATATTTGGATAAAGAAGAAAACAGCAAAATCATGGTAAGCGTTTCTCTTTTATCGTATTAATGTATAATGTGTAAGCATGATTTTCATGTCATTTAAAAAAATACTGCCAGGTTCATCTATTCATTTAAAACCAGCTATTCAGAGCCCATTATATGCCAGGCACTGAGAGTACAAAGCTGAGTCAGGCAATGTCTACACTGAGAGAGAGAGTGAGAGACAGAGAAGTAAACCTAGAAGGATGTGGCGAGCATTTCTAAGCCAGCTTGAGGTGGGAGCTGACCCTGGAGGAGTGGTGAGGAGCAAGCCCAGCCAGGGCCTCCGGGCAAAGCCCAAGAGCTTGAAGTTTCTGCAGAAATCCATGGCGAGCCCTTGTAGGGTGTTCAGCTGCCTTGGACACAGTCAGAGCTGTGTTGTAGAAAGACACTCTGTAGGTGTACAGGAGGTGGAAAGGAGGAGGCAGCCTGGAGCCAGTCAGGAGGCTGGTAGGGTCAGCCAGGCAAGAGGGGAGGAGGACGGAATGAAGGCAGTGGAGGTGTGGATGAGGGGAGGGCTGGCCCACAGGGGTGGCCTTTAGGAGGGGTTATGTATAGAACTGGTCACGGACTGATGTGGAGAATGGGGTAAAGGAATTGCAATTGCTTGTCAGAATAGTGCAGAGGAGGGGCTGGCCCTCTGGCCAAGTGGTTAAATTTGCGCACTGTGCTTCAGCTGCCCAGGGTTTTGCAGGTTCAGATCCTGGGCATGGACCTAGCACCGCTCATCAAGCCACGCTGAGGCGGCGTCCCACATGCCACAACTAGAAGGACCCACAACTAAAAATATATACAACTATGTACCTGGGGGCTTTGGGGAGAAGAAGGAAAAAGAAAATCTTTAAAAAAAAAAAAAGAATAGTGCAGAGGAAATCTTTTGGGTGAGGATCGCCAGGCCGTGCATGCAGAGCTGGACGCGAGTGTGATCCAGTGAATCACTTGCCGGGGAAGAAGCCCCCACTGGGCTTTCTCATAACTGTTGTGCTGGGAGATTGCTTCAGCTCTTGTTTCTGTGGCATCCACATGAAGTTCCAATGTCTCTAGACACATTCTCTGGGGATCTAGGTATATTCCACTTTTAAGACTGTCATCAGCACATTAAATAGGGATTGCTTTGGGACTGTGAACAAGTTTTAATAAATTTTGGCTTGTGGTTAGAGGTTAGAATGCTCTAAAATAAATGACAAATTTCTCATAGTAAAAGTGGCATTAGGGTGAGGAAAGATTTTAAGTTTTCATATGATTTCACCAAGAGACGGGTGGCTACCCTTCTTCAAATCACTGGTTTAATCTTTTTCCCCTTACGTTTTTTTCTTGGTTGATTTAATTCTCTAGTTCTGCCCCTCAGCTTTCTCAAATAACCAAGTGTCTAATTCTGTGTTTATTTTTTTTAAATCCAGGATGTTGTTTTCCAGTGGCTCACGACAGGAGACATCCACCTAAACCAGATTGATGCTGAGGACCCAGAGGTAGGAGGCTGGGAATCACTGAAACATTTTTAGATAAAGAATGGGTCCAGGGACCGGCCCCGTGGCTGAGTGGTTAGGTGCATACACTCTGCTTTGGCAGCCCAGGGTTTTGCCGGTTCGGATCCTGGGCGCGGACATGGCACCACTCATCAGGCCATGCTGAGGCAGCATCCCACATAGCACAACCAGAAGGACCTACAACTAGAATATACAACTACATACTGGGGAGCTTTGGGGAAAAGAAGAAAACAAAAAGATTGGCAACAGATGTTAGCGCAGGTACCAATCTAAAAAAAAAAGAGTGTGTCCAGCTTCTCAGCACCACTTGAACAGTTCCAAAGGAATATCTAGCTCTCGCTTTATCATAAGACAGATGGAAAGAAGTGATGCTTTTTTTTTTTTTTTAAAGATTTTGGTTTTTTCCTTCTTCTCCCCAAAGCCCCCCGGTACATAGTTGTATATGCTTCGTTGTGGGTCCTTCTAGTTGTGGCATGTGGGACACTGCCTCAGCGTGGTTTGATGAGCAGTGCCATGTCCGTGCCCAGGATTCGAACCAACGAAACACTGGGCCGCCTGCAGCGGAGCGCGCGAACTTAACCACTCGGCCACGGGGCCAGCCCCTCTTTAAGACTTTTTTTTTTAACTTTTGTATTTATTATATATCAGGCACTATATAGCATATACTTCCATGTAAATCATCTTATTTCATCCTTACAACAGCCCTGTGAGGTAGATGGTCTTATTCCCATCTTTTTTTTTTTTTTTTTTTTTAAAGATTTTATTTTTCCTCTTTCTCCCCAAAGCCCCCTGGCACATAGTTGTATACTTTGAGTTGTGGGTTCTTCCACCTGTGGCATGTGGGATTCTACCCCAGCATGGCCCAATGAGTGGTGCCATGTCCACACCCAGGATCTGAACAGGCGAAACCCGGGGCCACCGCAGCGGAGTGCAAACTTAACCACTTGGCCATGGGTCCAGCCCCTGATCTTATAGATGAGGAAACTGAAATTCTGTAAGATTGCAGTGTGCTCAAATAGCAAGCAGGCACAGAGCTGGGATCCAAACCCAGGTCTCCTGAATCAAAGTCTGCTCATTCTGCAATTGCTTCTGTGTTTCTTTCTTTCTTTCTTTTTTCAGGAAGGTTGGCCCTGAGCTGACATCTGTTGCCAATCCTCCTTTTTTTTTTGCTTGAGGAAGTTTGGCCCTGAGCTAATATCTGTGCCAGTCTTCCTCTACTTTGTATGTGGGATGCTGCTATGGTGTGGCTGATGAGTGGTGTGTAGGTCTGCACCCGGGATCCAAACCTGCACACCTGGGCCACTGAAGTGGAGCACATGGAACTTTAACAACTCAGCTACTGGGCTGGCCCCACTTCTGTGTTTCTTAAACTCTGAAATGTCAGGGAAATTATTTCCTGGCATTGGGTAGCAGGAGGTGGGCCAGAGGCAATCAGAAAGGTGGTCCACCGAGCGCTTCCTCTCTGCTGAGGATGTGGCCTCCCAGGGGCTGATTTGGGTTAGGAAAGAGGACAGCCACATGTCTAAAACATTCCCTTATATGGAAACATTAAGTTTATGGATCTTTTGCCTAAATTCCTCCTGAAAAGTGATGTAAGCCCCCAAAATAAAAGACTTGGAGTACATCCAGGAATTCGCTCTTCATGCCTCACAGGAGCCAAGTCTGAGGGGACGGCGTGTTTGGCAGCTGCCAATCCTAGTTAGAGTGTCATGGGTCGAGAGAGCAGCACTAAGCAGTGCTGCATCTGCTCCTGTTCTGTGTGGCCACCTTGCTCCTGCTAAGTTTCTGTCCTTCCTGTTTTCTAGCTGAGCAAACTGAAGTAAGTAAATTCTTCAAGGCACCTACTTAGATTAATACCTGGCCAAGCCATTACTAATGCCTACATCAGGCTGATGCTGGAGCCTGCACCTTTTCTTCTGCTCTTGTTCACTGCCCACCACCCATGACACTGGACTGTTCAGAAGGGAAGCATCAGTAGAAAACCAGAGGAAGATAGTGTTGTGAAGGCCATTCTCTAAAACCGCGCAGTCTCGTACATCTTCTAGGGGTGCGACCTGGGGAAATACGTCCTTTGTGTTGTGAGGCTTTGGAAAGTGAAACACTAGATCCAGTAGCATTGCAAAGTAAGAAATTCTGAAGGCCAGAACTTCCTGACTATGATTTCAGATCAAATCTTTTTATATCCGAGTGGGTTTCAAACCCAGACGAGCTCAGTTTTAAATGATTATTTAATAAAATGGTGGCTCAATAAAGAGCTAAAGGAATTTACATAAGTTTTAACCTCAAAATCTGCTAGGGTCGTGAAAACCAGTGGTCTTGGGAGCACTGTTATGTTTCTATCTGAGTACCTAAGGCCGTGATGGCTTTCTGAACTGGGATTTTCCAGCCGGCCTCTGTGCAGAGAGGAGTCCGCCTCAGGCCCTTTGGATTGCTGGGCCATTAATGATCTCTGTGCTGTGTTCTCAGTGTGTGTCCTGGCAGTTGGCGCCCTTGTTATTGCTGTCACCTTCAGCCCACTGTCCTGTTAGAGGGTTGAAGCCACAAAAACAGCCAAATGTTGTCCGGAAGGACAGTTGTTTGTCTATGCTCTTCCCTTGTCTCTTGTTAAAAAAAAGTTTGAGGATTGCGGGAGTTTTTGACCCTTGAGATATAAAAAAAGTGAGCCTGTTTGTCTTGACTTCTTATTTCTGGAATGCTCGGGCATGTCTCTTCAAGCGCTGGCTCTAGAAAATGTAGAACAGTATGTTGCAGGTGACTTCAGAAGACCAGTTTTTAAACTATTATCCAGTTGGCCTTGTTAGAAGTCAAGGCTGAATGCAGTTCAAAGGGCAATTAGGAATAAATTTCTTGTTGCCAGCCTGCATTTATTTAAATTTATTTTTTGAATAGGTAATACATTCACACAGTTGGGAATTCAAAAGCATGCACAATGAGCGTGCCTTCCTTCTGTCTTTGCCCCCTCCCCAGTGACCACAGTCTTAGCGGTTTCTCTGTGTTCTTGCAGAGATATTTTATACATATATAAGCAAATATGTGTGTGTGTACTCTCCTTCCCCCTTGTTTTACACAAGTGGTACTACATACACACTGGATATACACTGTCCAGCACCTTACTTTTTAAAACTACCAATAGGTCTTGGAGATTTTCCCATATTTATACAGAAAGAGCTTTCTTTTGTTTGTTTTTTTGAAAACTGTATTTTCCATTGTTTGTACTGCAGTATATTCGACCAGTCTCCTAGTGGCAGACATAGAGGTTTTCCTGGGTTTTTGCTATTATACCACACAGCCCGTGTCATCATTAAGGGCTCTCAGCAGTGCTGGAGGTGTGTCCTTCATTAGGTGAGAAGGGCCACGATCTAGTGTCCAAGTGGAGGGGTTGTCTGTGCTGGGGTCACAGGTGTTTTGTACACATAACAGGAGAGAAAGCAGTGCGTGGCCCAGATGCTGGTGGGTGGATAGATGTTGTAGTGGGAGCTTGTGGACTTTCTTTTATGATTGCTTCTCTTTTCTCACTGAAATAGAAAATAAGGTCATCAGCTAAAATTAAGAAAGGGATAATTGTTTGGGATGTTTGAAGTGACAAAAGGAAAGTATTCCCTAGGAGAGTGGGAAAGTGAATGAACTAGAGTAAAACAGTTGATTGCTGAGCACTCAGATCAGTGATCATAAATTAGAAGGGGACCAGTCAGCACAGCTGTGTGTTTCTCCAGCTGTATTCAGCTGTGTGAGTCCTGGCGTGAGTAATTGGAGAGTTGCATTTAGCCAGCATTGGAGTTTAGCCAAGTGACTTTTGTTCCTCTTACCACATAAAGTGGCTTATTTGAGGTTTAGTTGTCAGTGATCATGAACAGTGAAATCTCTTGGCAAGAGAATATAAATATTACAGATTTAGACCTGAGACGTTGGAGACTAGAGAGATTAAATTCTTGCTCCTGGTCTGCTGAAAGGAACCCTCTTGTGGCTTTCAGATTTCTGACTACATGATGCTGCCCGACACAGCCACCCTGTCAGAGCGGCTTCGAGTGTGTCTCCAGGAGGGCGATGAGAACCCACGGGACTTCACCACCCTCTTCGACCTGTCCATTTACCAGCTGGATACCACCTCCCTCCCCAAGGTCATCAAGTCAGTACCTGTGGCTCTCTGAGCTGCACTGCACTCCGTTCTGAGCATTTGGTTTGAAAACATGAGCCTGGGGACGAGAGGTAGAGTCATGGCAAACGTGGTTTGCAAAACATTCTCAGATCTATGAAGAGATCGACAAAGACAGCTGGGATATTGCCGGAGTGGGGGGGGGGAGGGTAGGGGTGGGGGGGTGGGGTGGGTGTTGATGCAGATGAAAATGCCAGCATCATTAGCCCCAGCTGTGTTCCAGGCTCTGTATCAGGCATTCAGGGTGACCAGCTTACTCCCGTTTGCCCGCGACTTTCCTGGTTTTAGCACAGAGTCCCAGGTCCCAGGAACCCCTCAGTAAACCGAGGTGGTTGGTCACCCTGTAGGCACTCCACGCTGTTACTTCACTTAATACTTTCAGTCAGCCTGAGTTACCTGCCTTGTTTCCAGATGAGGAAACTGAGGTTTAAAGAGGCTAAGCTATTCTCCCAAGGTGGGAGCAGGGATTAAAGCCAGGCCTGAATGACTTTCAAGCCAGGGCTTTACCCTGTTTTCTTGCCCGTTTCTTGTTGTTGTTTGCCATCCCTGATGTCACAGACAGGGACTAACATTTCTCAGCATCTTTGGCCTGGCGTGGGATCTACATCTGGATGAACCAAAGGCTGAGGGTGGAGCTACAGATGACTGTCTAACTTCCTAGCCCTATACTTATGTTCAAGTTCAACGAAGACTTCCAGAGCTCTGTGTCAGGCACTATGCCTGAAGTTTATGGTTTTATGGAGAGGACAGACAAAAGCTGTGATGCAAGGTTATTATATTAATGTTGAATGGAAAATAGAACTAGAGGCCATGGGCACAATGAAGAAAGGGAATTTGATTCTGGCTGAGGTGAGCAGGTAAGACTCTATGAAAAAGGGGCCCACTTAGCCAGGCATTAACTATTTCAGCCAACATTTCTTGGGGGCCTCGTGTCTGTTTGGCACTGGGCTGGGTGTCGCACTTTAAGGGGTGAGGATTTCAGGAGGCAGGCGGGGATGCTGGGAGGGAGCATTCTGCAGTGATGTAGCTTATGTGAGCAAAGCCCTAGACATTCACATGTGCAGGCGTGCCCAGCCAAGGAAGGTTATTCCTAATTGCCATTTGCACTGCACTTAGCCTTGACTTCTAAGAAGGCCAACTTGGGGGCTGGCCCAGTGGTGCAGGGGTTAAGTTTGCACGTTCCACTTCTCGGTGGCCCAGGGTTCGTCAGTTCAGATCCTGGGTGCAGACATGGCACTGCTTGGCAAGCCATCCTGTGGTAGGCTTCCCACATATAAAGTAGAGGAAGATGGGCGCGGATGTTAGCTCAGGGCCAGGCTTTCTCAGCAGAAAAAGAGGAAGACTGGCAGTAGTTAGCTCAGGGCTAATCTTCCTCAAAAAAAAAAAAAATGCCAACTTGGGGCTGGCCCCGTGGCCGAGTGGTTAAGTTCGTGCGCTCCGCTGCAGGCGGCCCAGTGTTTCATTGGTTCGAATCCTGGGCGCGGACATGGCACTGCTCATCAAAACCACGCTGAGGCAGCGTCCCACATACCACAACTAGAAGAATCCACAACGAAGAATATACAACTATGTACCGGGGGGGCTTTGGGGAGAAAAAGGAAATAATAAAATCTTTAAAAAAAAAAAAAAAATGCCAACTTGGTTGTTTAAAAATTGATCCTCTTAAGTCACCTGCAACATACTGTTCTACGTTCTCCAGCACCAGCACTTGAGGAGATACGCCTGCACATTACAGAAGGAAGAAGTCAAGACAACAGCCTGATTGCGGCTGGCCCTGTGGCCAAGTGGTTAAGTTCGCGTGCTCCGCTGCGGCGGCCCAGTGTTTCATCGGTTCGAATCCTGGGCGCGAACATGGCACCACTCATCAAGCCATGCTGAGGTGGCATCTCACATGCCACAACTAGAAGGACCCACAACTAAGAATATACAGCTATATGCTGGGGGGCTTTGAGGAGAAAAAGGAAAAAAAAAATCTTTAAAAAAAAAGACAACAGCCTGAGGCTCAGGGCAAGGGTCTAATTCAAAAATGAGGTCCTAGTAAAGACCTCTAGAGGAGGGACTTGATTGACTGTGTAATCCAGAGTCAACCAAAACAATTTCTTGCAGCAGTTTGTACAATTAATTGGAATAAAGAAAAAGTAGAAGTGAAGAAGGCCAGTCAGGAGGTGGTTGCAGCAGGTCAGGAGGGTTGAAAGGTGGAGTTAGGAAGAGTAGTAGTGTGCTTTCAAGAGATGTTTGGGAAGAAAGAATCACAAGACATGGGCCCTGGGAGGCTGTGATGGAGATGTCTGAGAGACGGATTACTCCTTGGGGATCTGAGCAACCGGTGATGCTGTTAACTGGCACAAAGCACGCAGGAAGAGGAGAGAAGTGAGTTCTGTTCCCGGCCCTCCCAATCTAAAGTGGCTGAGAGGTTTCCCTGTGAAGAGATGCAGGTGGAACCAGTGTAGACATGAAGGGGTCCAGATAAGGCAGTGAGGGAAGCTGTGGGAAGGGCAGGTGACACCCAGGGACAGAAGTAGAGTGGGAATTGAGCTCACACCAGGACCTCACAGCTGCCATTGCTTGAGAGGTAGGAGAAGAAGAGGCCCTGTGATAAGCTGGGGAAAAGCAGCTGGAGGGGCAGGATGGGGCCTGTGGGCAGCAGTGTCCCCGGACGCCAAGGGAGGAGGAAATGACACGGAAGCAAGGGGTCCAGAGATGGGCCCCGGGGCTCCTCCTCTGCAATTCAGGGCTTTTCTCAGAGTAACAAAAGATACATCAGGCTGCTCCCCAAGCCGGCTGAGGTCCAACCACCTTCTGCCGTTTTGGCCTGCTGCTCTCTCGATGTGGTTTAGACCAGGCCACTGTGACGGCTCTGCAGTGTTGACCAGGGACTGACTGGAACTGTCTGCTATTTTAGAGTCAGCAGAGTCTTCAGTGGCTATTCTGGGGGCTTGGATGGCTCTTTTCATTGTATTTGTCTCTCGTACCACAGCAAAGGGCAGTAGTTACGGGCTGACGGTTTCTAGAGGTGCTCTTGGGTATTTTTATTTGCCAGTAACATCTTTTCAAGGCAAGTTCTCTTTTTTGAGTAAAATTCAGTTAGTCTTTAAATATTTGTGTGATCTATAGCGTGCTGCTCTGAAGTAACTTCATTTGCTGTCTGGTATTTATCGATGCCTGTGGGTGGGAGGTAGAGACACACAGTGTGGGGTCCCTGCCCTGAGATCATGGTCTGGTGGTTTGGGGATCGAGACACAGGATGATGAAAATGCAGGGTCAGAGGTCAGGCCAGAGTATTCTGGAAACACACAGCTTAGCTCCATTGCACAGATTTGTGTTGAGCGTTGGCATTTACTCTTCCCTTTTTCCTGTAAAGGACAGCTTTCTCAATTAGGTTTTCTTGGGTTTAAGATTAGTTTCTCCACTCATCCCACACCCCCATTAAGTACATATTGGCTCCTAGTAGGAGCAAGATGTGGCCAGGTGGTGAGCTGAGTGGAGAAAGGGAAGACAGTGGAATTTGTTTTATTATTAACACAAGGCTTGAGCACACTCAACTCTGTCTGGGGACAGAGAACAGAACAGGCCTGCCTAGGCTGACCGAGGCCTGGGCTCGGCGGCTGGGTTCTGTGTGAGTGTGCAGGTGGTGGGACCTTGAGCTTAGAACTGCCCCTAATGACATTCTGCCTTCTCGGTAGACCGAGTCATGGAGCTTCTCAGGGGAGGGACTGGCCAGGTCTGAGTTCTGATCTTGCCTTTGTCGCTTCTCAACCACGTGACCTTGGGAAGCTGCTTCATCTCTCACCTGTTTCCTTGTCCCTAAGAGATTATTCCCACTGTCCACGGTTGTTTTGAGGATTAAATGAAATAAGTTTAAGTGCCCAGCACAGGGTCAGGTACAACACATCACATGCCGTAGGTGCTCAGTGAAAGTTATTTCTCTTCCCTCCATGGGGATATTCTGCTCATTCCTAGGGAAGCGTCTCCTTAAACCCCTGGGACTTGTGGAGGAGGTGACAGCAATAAACTCAGCTAATCACCTTTCTGCAGTCACAGACCTCTCCTCATACATAGAAGCAGGAATGAACTTTGTCCACACCTGTTGGCATTTGCTTGTTTAGCTTAATTTTGAAAGGCCAAAATGTGTATATGATTTAAATTGGGTGAGTATATTTTAATCTGCCTCATTCCCAGAGGCGTTCACCCAGCTTACAAAATTATGTACGATGCAAAAGAATAAAATAAATGAATGAGAGAATGGAGCCAAAGGGGAAGCCACAATCTAAAAATAACCCAAGGGTAAGACCAGCACTTACCTCTGTAAACTCATTTTGGCCACTCTCCCTCCACTGGAGCCTGCTGCTCTGTGAAAATGCCTAGCACTCTTTTCTCTGTTCTCCTTGCTCTTGCCTCTGCATGGGACTCCGCCTCCCCTCCTCCCTCCACTTCTCTGACCAGCTGCATTCTCTGCCCCCTCCCTGTCTATCCCTCTCTCCTGATTTGCTTTTCTTTGTGATGCTTATTAATACCTGGCAGCTTGGGTTTGTTTATTGTGTGTCTCTCCTCCACTGGAATGTAAGTTCCACAAAGGCCTGCCTTGGTCTCTTTTTTTCATTGTTGCTGTACTCCTGGTGTATAAACCTGCCTGGTACATAGTCAATTTTCAGTAAACAATTTTTGAGTGAATGAGCACTCAGAAGTGCATATTATACAGATCTGTACAGTTGCCAGAAGGAGAAGCAGACTTCAGGTTTGACACCTGTCTTCTGATGGTGAAAACAAATAAGGAAACACAGTGAGTTACAAGATTCAGTGTCCATTGGGTAAGAACAAAAAGCCTATTTAGGAGAAGCCTGATTAGAAACTTGAAAGAAATTTCCCTCTCAGTTCTCCATAGTCATGCCGTACGATACGGTAGATTCCTGGAAGGATCATTACATTCCACGTAACAACGCGTTCTGGGTGTTTTCTGCAGCAGCGCTGAACCTCCTGACTCGATGGAGAAGAGCAGTGTGTGCAGTCAGACGTGCTCTGCCGCAGCCTCATCTTGCTCTCTGCTTTTCTGTCTTATTAACACAGGGCTCATGAACAGCTAAATGTGAAACATGAACCTCTCCAGCTTATCCAACCTCAGTTTGAGACGCCGCTGCCAGCCCTTCAGCCAGCGGTG